CCAGTTATTGTGACAGTATATATGGCGCAGCTCTATCATATAGTAAACAAAGCAAATTACAGCGTATTCAGAATTCGTGCATCAGATTTTCTTGCGGAATACGAAAGTTTGATCATATTTCTCATAAATTTAAGGAACTTGGTATTCTGCAGATTAAAGGCATGTAAAAGCTTCACTTGATGATACTCACACATAAGGTCTTAGCTACCAAACAACCACAATATTGGCATAATAAGTTAACACGATGTAGTGACATAAATCAACTGAATACAAGGAATAGGGATATGTTAGTCATACCCTTATATTCTAAGGCTGTCTACAAGTGATACCCTTACATTCTAAGGCTGTCTACAAAACATCATTCAGCTACAATGCTATTAAATTATATAATGATCTGCCTATTACGTTATTTAATTTTAAAAAGAGGCTTAACTACAAGTCGAGGTCTGATGATGAGTACAAAATGCTAGAAATATGGACTATTCTTGTAATTGTTCTGTGTTGTTAATTATTTAGTAATTATTGAGAATTATGGATACATTTTTGATGGTGGAATGTTTTATTATATATATATATATATTTTTTTTGTTAAGGTTAAGGTTAAGTTGAAAAACGCTAATCTTAGCGACATTTCGTATTTTCTGTACTTTTACTTAGGTACGAAATAAAGCCCATATATTATTATTATATTATTATTAAATATTTACATAAAACAATTCATTTTCTTTCTCTTCTCGCTCCTACTTCCTTCCTTTCTTTCTCCCTCTCCCCTTTCCCCTACAACTTGTCTGGTTTCTGGGCCACCGGACCTGACAGACTGACGACAGACACTGACAGTACAGTGACTATGACCTAAAGGCTAAGGTCGTCCGGACCGCCTTGAGAAGCAACGACGAGTAGTAGTACAGATCACAAATAGAGTTCATCAGACTGCACATTACATAAACTGGAGATTTCAACATTACGTTCGTCCGGTCTGCTTGACAATAAAAGCCTGATTGTTGACGACTTTCAAGCCTTGGAATACGGAAATATATTTTTCCGGACAGTCAATTTGATTATGCATAAGGCCATACAAAAACGATAAGGCAAACATATTACGTCTAATTGATAGTGAATCCCATTGCCGACATCGGTACGCCACTGTGTTCTAATTGAACTGTCCACCATCCCTGTAAATAAAAAGAGTTTAACTGGACTAGCCTGATAACAATTCCCCTTTTTCCTTTTATTTTACAAAAAGCTAGCATTTCTGCAAACACTAGCCACTATCGTGTGTTAAAAGTGGGCCATATTGATTACTCTAACGGCAATCGTCGGCAATTTAGTCAAAAATTGCTCTCGCTAACGTTCGAGCCAGTCACAACTGCCCAATGCCTGGAATCTGTTCACCGGTACGACCAGTAGTGTAGGCGACAGGTGAAAATGGAAACAGTGGTCAATTCTTTTAACGGGTGTTTTTTTAAGATGTATAGGACTTGATTTTCAAAAAAAAACAAAAAATTTGAAAAAAACGATTTTATCTTTATTTGAGTCGATATAATTTAATGTTTAAAGATTATTTCATGTAAATGTTGGCCGCGGCTCCGCTTTAGATGGCCCATGCGCAAGGTTCAATTTTGACACAGTCTCTCCAACATATCGGCCGGTATCTCACGAATAAATGCTTCAATATTGGCGTCCAGTGCCTCAATCGTTGCTGGTTTATCCCTGTAGACATTAGCCTTTATATGGCCCCACAAGAAATAGTCCAACGGCGTTAAATCACACGATCTAAGCGGCCAATTGACGGGCCCCAAACGTGAGATAAACTGTTCACCGAACTCGCCTCTCAATAGGGCCAATGTTTCATATGCGGTTTGGGATGTGGCAGCGTCTTGTTGAAACCACATGTCAGCCAAGTCTAGCTCTTCCATTTTGGGCAAAAAAAAGTTTGTTATCATCGCACGGTAGCGTTCGTTATTCACAGTTACGTTCCGGCCACTGTCGTCTTTGAAGAACTACGGCCCGATGATGCCACCGGCCCATAATCCACACCAAACAGTGATTTTTTCGGGATGCATTGGTAGCTCTTGCAATGCTTCTGGCTGGTCTACACTCGAGATGCCGCAATTTTGCTTGTTAACGTACCCATTCAACCAGAAATGAGCTTCGTCCCTGAACACAATTTTTCGATAAAAATGTGGATCTTCCTCCAACTTTGCCAGCGCCCATCCATGTATATACAACGGGCTCGTGAATCAGGTGACTTAAGACTTCACAGGGGACGGCATGCCGGTGCTTCAAGACCTCACGATCAAATACAGGTCTGCACTGAAATACTTCTCGGGAGGATACTTTATAAAACAAGGTAAATTTTTTTTTATTTTTACACACGTATTTTGGTTTATCTTCCTTCTACAATCATTATCTGAAAATTAATGACTCAACTTCAAAGTCACCCTGTAGACCTTGACATTCCTTACTTAAGGGATCATGCCAAGTTTCAGGCGCAGCGATGCTGTAGTCAAACGGAATCGCACAGCAACCATCTGTTGCGTGACTCAGTGGACTACACAGTGGAGCAAGTTTATTCAAGGCCACGGCATGCACTGTGTTCGAAAACTAGCCCGAGCTTTACGAAAATTGCACCCTGCAATACCTGAATCAAACTTTGTTTTTAGTTCACCTTAAAATTAGTCCGCGTACCAACTCAAAAATCCTAGATGTTTCTTCTTAGACTGATACACTGCTATTCCTTTGCTCTTCTCCTTTTTCTTTCCTTTTCTCTTTTTTTTTTTGACATTTTATGATTTCTGGGCAACCAATACTGACAGATTTGACTAACGTACGTTAGACAGTGACTAATGGGCAAATGACGAATAGAAGGAGCTTCAAAATAAGGTTTCTTATGATCTCCCACTCCATATGAAAAAATGTAACAAGATGGTGTCCTGGCGCCATTTTGAAATTTGTGATTTTTACGTTAGGACATAGTACTGGTGTGTCAATTCCATCTTGCTTTCTTGACTCATTTAAACTAATACATGCATAATTCTTAATTTTTATTTTGCAAACAACTAAGGCCCGTATCGTCAGTCGTCCCTACAATTGTAGGGCGCCTTTATGGCCTCCTTGATTGTCATAGTTTTCTACTTCTCCATGTCAGCGCTCTATTTTGAGGTTATGTCACAAACATCTATTTGCATCAAACTGTGCTTGCTTTTGAAATTTCCTACAATTTAAAAAGAAAACATATCTTCACAATAGGAGAGCGCTGACGCTGACACGGGACAAGTGTAATCTAGAAACTTTTGAAGAAGAGAAAGGAGTATGACAATCAAGGAGGCCATAAACGCGCCCTACAATTGTAGGGTCGACTGACGATACGGGCCTAAGGGCCGTATCCTAGAATTATAGGACGCCTTTATGGATTCCTTGATTTTCATAGTCTTCTACTGTTCCGTGTCAGCACTCTGTTTTGAGGTTATGTTACACAAGCCTATTGACATCAAATTGTTCATGCTTTCGATTTAATCAGCCTGAAATTTCATACCATTCAAAAAGAAAACATACCCTCACAATCGGAGAGCGCTGACGCTGACCCGGAATAATAGAAAACTAGAAATAGCCCAGCCTGTTTGAAGGAGAGAAAATACTATGAAAATCAAGGAGGGCATAAAGGAGTCCTAAAATTGTAAGAACGACTGACGATACGGCCCTTAGAGACTGACGAAAAAAATCTGTTGCTATTTCTAAACCTACTCTATGAGTAGTAAACGGACTGTGAGAAATGGCGCACATTCAACACCATCCGTAACGTCCTCATATATCTAATTATATTTCAGAGGCTTAAATGCAAAAACGTGTGAATGTCCACGTGTGACATGTATATGTACACACATGTCAGAGTGCATTTCATTCTGGAATTAAATCCGAAGCAAATACGGCGAATTATTATGTAGCTTAATGTATAATTCATATATTATTCTATTATGCTTTTGGATAAAAATTCAAATCAGTTCGGATTAACGGACAATTTGCCCTATTTCCAAATTTGGTTGTTTGGAATTGCCATAATATATCGCATAGTGTAATTATAGGGAATGCGACATAGACTATTTCAAATATTTAAATCAATTCAATTAATTGAAACGTGGAACTTGATTCTTCTGAACATACACTGCTTGTCAAAAGGGTTTTCCCTCCACTCACTTTTTGACTTATTCGTTACTCGGATATCTGATCATTTATCTTAAAACTGCAGTAGCAAGTAATCGGAGCTTATCTATAGGTCTTTTCATGGTTTTTGGCGGGTTACAGTTAACCTACAGGAATTGCTGTCGTGCATCCATTTCCCTCATACATAATGTAACGCCCTCGTCTAACTGGAGCTCTGGGTACCACTGAATCACCCACCCCTTTACATCGATCTGAAGATTCAACAGGTGTCCAGAAACATCGACGGTTAGGCAACCAATTATGCGACCGTGCATCGAGAGCGATCGGGTTCGCGTTCGGGAGCGTTCCGCAACATCGAGTTGAATCTACTACTATCTAAACCACTTCCATGAGGGTTCGCGTTTGAGTGTATGAAGAGTAATGCGTTCAATTTACGGGACACATGAGATCAGCAATAACGACAGATTTCTGATTTATCGAATGAAACTCCTTATTATGATCCATATTCAGATACGCAAATATTTTCGGCATAACGAATAATAAAGGAGCTCTCCAATTCTGGCGTTAAGGAGTAGCATCGAATGATACACCACTAAATTAAAGTTCAATTGTCTGCCGGAGTGAAGGTATTGTAATCACAATTCTGCCGTGCTTAGCAGAAACGCTGTATATACAAAAAATGAAAAATGAGTTTTTTACATATTCTTGCTTGAATTCATGTTTTCTATATATAGAACTTAGTAAAAATGCCGTTTGAAGCATCATAACCGTAAAACAACATAACTATTTTGCAGTAACTAACAAAAATTTGTTTGCATGCTCATTAAAACCGCCGTATCTAACATTATTTATCATAAATGCAACACCTTCCGGTCAGATCCTGCGTTTTTACTAAGTACATGTGAATTGCCGCGTTCCTCCCAAGTACAAGTCGTGTCTTGTCCGTTATTAATTACTATGATGATGCATTAAAAACGTGGTCAGTTGTTTGTTTTGGTCCGTGCAGATTAGAAGTGTTTTGTTGAGAGTTGTTTTATGTCCAAAAGAACGAAGTTAATTTTGGATCTAGCCATGGATGCTACATACCAAGCTCCAGCTAGTATTTATACGTTACCTGCTGAAGTTCAACATGATGCTAATGAACTAATAAATATAGAGGTAAGATACTAGTTTAAAATTACATATTGTGCAGCATTTTTAAGTATATTTATTTTTTTTCTCATTTTAGTTAGACACAATTTTGAGTCAATTTGAATCTAATGACATGTTGAAATATCACACTCTGGTGTCATGCAGTAGAGAAACAGTAGGTTTAATGGCAGATAGTGAAGATTGCGAAATTCAAGCTGAATTGAACGTGTATATATATTGCATATATATTCACTTGATAAAAATATTAGAGAATCAGTTTTGCTTGATTTCATAGTTTAGGCCCGTATCGTCAGTCGACCCTGCAATTGTAGGGCGCGTTTATGGCCTCCTTGATTGTCATACTGCTTTCTCTCCTTCAAAAATTTATAGATTACACTTGTCCCGTGTCAGCGTCAGCGCTCTCCTATTGTGCAGATATGTTTTATGTTTTCTTTTTAAATTGTAGGAAATTTCAAAAGCAAACACAGTTTGATGCAAATAGATGTTTGTGACATAACCTCAAAATAGAGTTCTGACACGGAGAAGTAGAAAACTATGGCAATCAAGGAGGCCATAAAGGCGCCCTACAATTGTAGAGACGACTGACGATACGGGCCTTAAAGTATTTTTTTTCTAGGAGAGTTTAAATTTATTGAATTGCTATTTTTAGGCACTACCACAAACCAGACATTTGGGTATCATCACACATGATACTGATGATAGTATGATTCTTGAACCAATCACTAACGACACACCGATGATAATTAAATGTTTCAAAGATGCCTTATCTGAGACAACTGATTTAGATAACGTTGCATTTGGAAATGCTGTAGTAAATAACCCTGTTACAGAAACAGAAATTCAAAAAAGTGAGGTAAATTATAAAAATCTCATAATACATGTATTAAGAATCTTTAAGTACTTCAAAAGTGCATTTTGGAAGTGGAGTATTTTGCAACAAATAAGACTTTGTCGGATGATAATGACATAAGTCATGGAAATTAATCAGATCTTTATCAGATGTTTGTTTATAGAGACAATACTTTTTGCTTTCTGCAATGGATATCTCGTACAAAAAATAGTTAAGTTTTCGTTTGATTTTAGGAAGACCACGATGTTCCAGATTCTTCTGTAGATGAAGATGAACTGGTTTGTGTAAATAAAACATTCTATTTGACATAAAAACTAATTTTTATGATTTTTAGATTAGTAAGGATGCTAATCTTACAGAAGCTGCCACTAAACGCAAAAGAAAAAAAATCACCGAGAGTTTGTTTAGCAAAAACGCAGTACCGCATTAATCTCAAGCAACCTGTGACTTTCATTATACTTCTTGCTTAAGAGAAATGCAGTATCTGGCTTGAAAATAAAACCAGTCATTTTTTTTTCTACAGTTTTGTGAAAATATGTTTTCTCAATTGAATATACTTGGTTATGACAATAGAAGGCAGCGAAAGTATTTGAACTCTCTTACGGCTCTGAAAAAAAGAATAAACATGTTTTCTTCCATGCTTAATTTTTTGTAGATGCGGTGTTACCGCTAAGCACGGCAGAATTATGATTCTGATGTACTATCCTTTGTTTTTTCAATGTTTGCCAGGTTTTTGCATAGATAGAATACTATAAACGACTAGATTATAAATTAATGATCGCACCAGAGGACTAATAGGTTAAATGAAAGGAATATATACTAAGTGACATATAAATCCGAACACCCAGTTTAAATGGTTTTATTTTAATAAAAGTTGGTGAATGTATTTATCTTACTGTAAATAACAAGTGAAAAAATGTTCAGCCTTATCAATTGGACATTCCGTTTTTTATACTGCTTTTTTTTAATTCACTAACGCTCTAAAAATGAATATTTCAGCCGCAGTAAAGAATCAACGTTGGCGGATTTTGGTTCTTGACATCCTTTACGATCGTTTACGATGCCTATAGTACGGAGGCCTGTACGATTTCGTCAACTTAGTGAGTTTGATAGGGGCCGTATAGTGGGACTTCGGAAAGCTGGACTTTCTTTTCGGGCAATTGCAGTTAGAGTGCAAAGAAGTGTAGACACTGTGGTTAGGTGTTGTCAGGCTCCACTACCAGGTCGATTGCAAATGAATGGTTTGCAGAACACGGAAGACCTATTAGCATGCGAAGTGTTTACCGACGAATAAGAAGTTTTGGCTTGTTTTCATACCGGCCACACTGGGTCCTCCCTTTAACTCGAGAACACCGACGTAATCGCCTTGAGTGGTGCAGACAACGGTCACTCTGGGATCAGGAATGGAACAGTATTGTCTTTAGTGCAGAGTCTCGATTTTGTTTAGACATGCACGATGGTCGTGCCAGGGTTAGAAGGCGACGTGGTGAAAGGAGGAATCCACAGTGTTTTGTTGAAAGACATGTTCATCACACTGTTGGAGTTATGGTTTGGGGTGCTATAGCTTATGGTTCCAGGTCGCCTTTAATCTTCATCAGAGGTAACATGAATGCGCAGCGTTGTATCCACGAAGTTCTAGAACCCCATCTTTTACCCTATCTTGACACCCTGGCAGATCCAACTTTCCAACAAGATAATGCCCGACCACATGTTGCAAGAGTCACAATAGACTTCTTTCAACATAATGATGTCACATTGTTACCATGGCCACCAAGATCTCCCGACTTATCCCCAATTGAGCACGTGTGGGATATGATGGGTAGGAGATTGCTCAATTTGCAACGTCCTCCTCAGACTCTAGAAGCACTTCGAGAGGAGTTGGTGGTTGCCTGGAATGAGATACCACAGGAGGCGCGTTGAAGAATGCGTAGCACATCAGGGTGCATCCATACATTATTAAAGGTCAAAGGGCTTTAAAGCAGTGCAATCATTTTGAAATTTTTATCATTTACTTATTATGCTTCATTAAGTACTTATACAAAATTTTATTAAAACAAAACCATTTAAACTGGGTGTTCGGATTTATATGTCACTTAGTATATTTTGATCCAGTAGTTGCAACATCACCTTAGTGCTCCACGCTGTACGTTCTTTGTCGGTGTTAATGGTCCTATCTCCGCTCGTGCCCAACTCAAGCCATTGTAATTGAGATAAAAGTACGTAACCAGTGAGGCATAGAGACGTATAAAAAGCGTTATTTAACATCATGATTTCAACAGTAAGAGTAAATTAAATGAAAATACGCGCCACGCAATTGTTTAGTTTGTCTTGGTTATACACTGTAACGAAATCTAGTCGTGCCTTACGAACATTTTTTCGGTCCCAGAATGTTTTTGTCTAACGGATTGCTTTGTTTAATTGTTGACCTGAAATAATCGGGAAAAAGTTGATACGTAAAAAGTTTATCGAAATTGTTTTGGAACTGTGAAATCAAAGCTTCTTTTTCGGCTCCGGATAGCGTTGACAAATAGTTCCGAAATCATCTGTTACAAACTTTTTATATGAAGAAGATATCGACTCATAGGCGGATCTAAGAAGACGCTCTGTGGCTCGAGCCCTGGATTCAAGGGTTTATGAACGTAAACAAAATTCATGTTCAAGAAATAATGATGTTCCAGTACGCACTGCGACGGCTCAAGTATCAGCACTTAATGTTCTGGGGCCGCGGGATCACGGATTCTCACTGTATCGACCTCAAATACAGTTCCTATTGTAAACATACGAAATATTTCAAGCACATTTTTGCATGCACGCTCAACCCTAAAGCATACGAATTTCTTCTAGAAGGCTCCCAAATCTGGGCAGTGTCACTAAACATGACTGCCCTTAGGCCTGTTTACGTTATACATTTCGTTTCTCAGGGCACTTGGCACTGGCGTCATTTACACCCAAGTGGGCATAACGGTCGCTCCCAAAATCAAGTAGTGCGCGGTGTGAACCTAATTATAGCTTATGACTTTACTATCTATTGTTATTGAATATCCGCAGGAGAGACCACTCCAGTTTCTGGGGTTGTTATGGGACTTTCAGAACCGCATTGCTGAGTTCAGGAAGTCATGGAAATCACTGCTCGGTTTCCTCTGCCAGTGGAAATATCGAAGCACTTTGAATCTTGGCACAATGGCTTTTGGCCGACGTGACACTCTAGGTCTGTTTGATCACTTAACTTCCTCCCTTGGCAATCGCTGGAGTCTCGAAGGTTCGCATTCCAGGATGTATGTAGGGATTGTCAGTTGCTCGGTTACCTTTGGATCAGTGATAACCTCGGAGCTTTTGGGTATTGACACGGCAACGGGATATCCTGGTTTCTGTACTGCTTTTCGTAACAATCGTTATACTCAGCATAGCTGTCTGGACACGTAGCGGCCAAATAGTATGTCTGTGTGACAACTCAATGATCAGATTCAATGATTCAGCCTGTGTGCCAAGTTCCTTACTAGTAGTCTCGGCACAACTAATGTAATGGTGACTAGTATATTGGTGCATGTCATGTCATTAGTCTGTAGAATATGGGGGCACTCATAAGCTTTTTTCCCAAAAGTAGACGCTGTCCTCGACAATCAAGTCCTATCGCCCTTATCGCTTGCCAAACGTGCATAGCTTGTTGTCGATCCAACACCAAGTAAGTGGCTTTTATATTGCCCCAATATTGTTGCTCAGATCGAATTGTTTACGTACTGCCCTGGCAATAGAATAAAATGGAACCGAGTGCTACTTCGAAATCTTCCAAGTCGGGTTTGTTGTTTTCACGTTTATCGTTCTATCAACGTCTTACGCTACAGAGGCTTATTTGGTAGACCAGGGGGAGGGGGGTATTTTCCAATGTCGAATGATCAATGTTACATTTTTCATTGGACATAAATTTCGCGAAGATGGTAGTGCTTAGGGTTGAATTTTCATCTCCGCTAGCTTCCTTATTAGTTAATGTAATATTGTACGAATTAAACTTGGCGCTGCTACTCCTGGGTCCAACTGAGAGCTATCGACATAATGTTGAGTTAACTACTAACTGCCAATCAGTGATATCTTCCAAATATGCCAATCTGAAGTGAGTGAAGAATGGTCAATAGCCAAAATGTCGAACAAAACTCATAAAGTGCGTTATTGAATCTTGGAGTCGACATTTTTCATTCAACAAAATCAACAAAAGCTTAGGGTTAGATTTTCATTACTGCTTGCTTTCTTATCAGTTGCATATACTATCCATAATTGATGTTCGTTGCTTTTGGTAAAGCGTCAATGTAGTCTTGTTCAAACTAAACTTGGCTCTGCTACTCGTAGGTCCAACTGAGAGCTATCCACATATGCTGAATTAATTGCTAGTTGCCAGACAGTGAGATCTTTCAAATATTTATTTTATTTACTTA